CTGCAATGTCAGTGTCAAGAAACTAACAGCCTGATCCAGCTCCCATCAAAATTAATGGAAAAACTCCCTCTTTCAGGGGGTGTTGGTGTAGGCTCGCAATGGACAGGTTCTTCATGCTCAGGAGCCATCTTTATCCCCAACCAGGTGTCTTACAGTCAGACAGGTGCAACCATGCCTGCACACCGCTGCACCTGACCCAATAAATCCTCCTCGTTTTGAAAGCCAGATCCAATCCCTGGGCTGTAAGTGAAGTCATCCTTTGGAACACTGCAATGAAAAGCTGTAAAGCTCCTAAAATGGATACTTTTGCTGGATTAACCATTTGTCTACATTGTGTATATTGCATTTCCATCTTTCTTGTCATATTAAAGTGAATGTTCTTTCTTGCTTATGTTATGAAGTATCTTGTAGTACGCATACAGGGTGAGAAATGTAGCTGAATTAGCATTACAAAATCAACTTTAATATTGATAGATTTCCAAGGTTGCTTTTTTGATTGATGATTATTTGTTTTTTTCCATTACTGGTAGATAGCAGTTCTGCTTTCTATGCTTAGTCTCTTTCTTTCAGCTGAGTGCATTTTTATGCTATGAAAAATGTTTGTCTTTTTATTCTTTTTTATGTATTCTGTTTTTCCCACTCCTGTGGTAGCTACTTGGTTTGGTGTTTATTTCATGTAGCAGAAAATACCTACCACAGAAATGCAAAGGCAGCCTGACAGCAAGCTTCTCTTTGGGCATGTTGACATCATCCTCCTCTCTGAGCTCTAATTCAACTCTCAACACAATGCCTAAAACCGCACGGCCTCTGGGCACAAAAGATGAACACGAGAGTACACTTGTGCATTCTGTTGCCCTGTAAGCAAATTGCCTTGTTAATGAGGAATCAGTCAAATAATGGGGTTGATAGTCTGTGTTTAAATTAGGTAAGATGAAGTGCAAAAGTGTTTCTTGATGTATCAGAGACAGCAGCACATCCTGTTCAAAGTTCGGGGCTATGAAAGTCGTTGACTAATTCTTCAACATCTCTCTCAAGAAAAGACAAGATACAGCTATTTCATGTGTAATAACTACTCTTCGGAAAAATAGGAGGAAGCTAGGATTTTATAACTTCACTGACAGGCCAAACCGGAGCTGCACTTTGCGAAGTGCATATATGCCTTGTAAAAGAGAACTCCTTGCTTTCAGTTGTCTGTATTTACATGGCCTATGCCTGGAAGGAGGAGAGGAGAATGCCACTGCTTTTGTGTAACAGATAAGGGATAGAAACTCTGTGGGTATGTGCGTACAAACAGCGTTTGTGGGGTGAACATTGCTTCTCCTGCTCACGATGATAACAAATCAGTGCATGCACACAGAGAAACCCTGCAGGCTGGATAGCGTGCTGTGAATTGCTGCTTCGTGCTGTCTTGTTCGAGTAGTCATACATGTAGTGAATTGTATCTAAACTCTCTCCCAAGAAGTAGCAAGCTAACCAACAGCCTTTTTATTTCTGAATGCTCCAAACCCACAGTGTAGCTGGTTATCTGTCCGGGCTCTGCATTTCAGCAGCTGGAAATTGATGGAAGAGAGGAGGGAAAAGGCATCCATATTTTCTATTGTTTTTCTTTCCAAGTTAAGTATCTTGGATGAGAGAAGAGGGAACATAACTGAATCACTCAGACAATCTGTTCTTTCAAATGGTGGGGTTAAGAGGCTAAAAGACTTTTACAAATAAACAATAAAAAAAAGGCAAGTATTAGTTTAGGTGTCTGACAGGAAGGCTATAATTCTGTTCTGCTCTGTACCACATAAAGTACTAAAATATGAAAATTTTACATTCTCTGTCCTTCTCTTGTAGAACTAGTACATTCTCTTCTTATCATTATGTCTCATCTGGTACATTATTCAAACTCAAGCCGAAGTATTCCACCACTTGAGATGTCACATAAACAAAAACAATATGAAGAAGCTTATAACAAACACATCACAAAACCCTGCCTTCTAAAATCTTGCTTGCTTTGCTTTGACAGGACAAAGAGCACATCAAACCTGCTTGACCAGCTTCCTCACTAGACACAATCTGAAGGTAGAACGTGTCTTCCACGGGCAGCTCTTTGTCATCCTTAGCACATTTTCTGTAGTGGTAGATGCATCTGGGCAGAGCCATGGGACTCATGCCTCTGTGATCCAGCAATCAGCCAGCGCTACCCTACCCTACCCATGGTCTATTTTATAGTGTTTTTGAATTCCCTCATTCTGACAGAAGAATGGTTCAGTGTTGGCACACATGGCATCTCAGCTTCAGGGCTGTTATAACCTGTAATAGTTGGTGACAGCCTCCAAGACACTGGTATGTCAGGCCAAAGACAGCTGGTTGGCAGCAGTCCTGGCCGTACTTGCTCTTTCACTGACTTCACATGCTCTGTAGTTGTGACATGGAAAGTGGTTTCATAAAATCTGTGCCTGTAGGGAACTTTGTATTTCATAGAAATGCCCATATAATCACCAGATTTTTATTCCACAGTGACAGGACAGGAAAAGGATCTCATCTTGGCCGTTTAGGATAATTTGTTTTAAACAGACAAAGTAAAAACCCTAGCCATTCTCTTTGACTTTTAAAAAGTGGTTAGTTTCTTTAATGCAGTTGACCTCAGAGATTCACCGCTGCATGTACGGTAATTTGACTGAGAAATATGCCGCTCTCAAGATTGAGTCTAAGCAGAACTCTTCTTTGATAAACTAATCTTTGTAAAATCCACTGTGGTGCTGTGTTTAGCAGAGCCAGGAGCTAGCTATTCGTTCTCTTTTTTTTTTTTTTTTTAATTTTACTCTTTTTCAATAGACTATTTAGAGTACAGCATGCTGAAAAAATAGGAATGGGGGTCCCCAACAGATATTAGTTATGGTTGTATTCTTCCTTTCGCCAGAAACACAAACCACACAATCCTTACAGCAATCAGCACAAAACACATCATGTTAAATCCCTCATTTCTTTAGCATAATATGAAGTCTCTCCTTCTCTCATATTACCATTCTGGTCAGTCAGGTATGTGAGGTTTTTCTAGGCAACAGGTGTTTTTTGAAATAAAATACAACCTTCCCTTCAGCTCATTATGTGAAAGACACAGCAGCTGCAAGTATAATGCTGAGGACACATGGTCTATAAGACATCCAGAAGAAAAATACTCCTTGTTCCACTTGTTAAGGTAAAGCACAGATGTTGCTTCAGTGATAAGCATGAGCATAAGGCAACCACAGTCCGCTTCATGTTGTAAATTCAGAATCTAAGATTTCAGAATATTTAGTAGGCTGCAACCGGCATCACCGGTTTCTTTATGTAAGGGAAAGTTGTTTATATCTAATCTCATAGTCCTAACAAATACTCCTGATCACAGTTTGCATTACACTATCATCAACAATATGCTAGGGACTATCCACAGATTTGGCAGATAAATTATTAATAATCTTTTATATGGACTCAATTATGAGTATCAAATAGTGACAAATTAATACATTTACTGATTTAAACATTTACAGATAGTGTATATGAAAAAGGTTTTAGTCATTTAGAATGTTAAATGCCATTTTTTCCCTGCTTAGTGTTGGTACTAAGGCTACTTCTGTATCTCTCTGATCTGGACTGTTGAGAAATCAGCTGCAAAATAATGGTGTCTAATGAATGTAATGGCCAAAGCTAGATCCATTGCTTTCCAGGGAGCAATTCTCCACTCAGTTAGGTTGGTAATTCCCCCCCTCAGTTTACTAATTTTTCCCTAATTTCTTTTAAGACCAAAGTACGTATATTGTAGTTAATAGCATAACTGTTAACCTGAAGAGGCTTTTTCAAATAAAAAGGAAATGCAGCATTTCCTCAGAAACACAAAGATCCTCTAGAGTTGCCTGATCTCCTTACTCCCTCCAATTTTCTAGGCCTAACTAGGTCAGAAACTCTACCCTACCAACCAGAACATATAACACCACAGAGAAAACACAGTTCACAGAATAATCCCAGAGCTCTTGGTCTGTGAGTAGATTGGTTGCTTTGGCTCTCTTGCAAAATATTTATGCTGGCCTTGCAGCATAAGTCCTGGTAGCTTGTAGGACTGCGTGTTTTTCTGGCTACAGCGTTTGTTACGTAGAGCAGCAGCTGCAATGGATTGGGAAATGTACACATGGAGAAAGGCCTGATGGCATGGATCTACTAGAAAAAGTGAAAAGCTTCATGCTCCTTCAGATCCAGCTCAAAATGACCCTGGCTCTTGTGTGTGTAGTTTTTTTGCAAAATCTGTATTGGTAAACTGATGGTAAGACAAGTCCATTCTTTGTCATTCTATCACCACCAGTTTTAGAGAAGACAGGCTTAAAAAATAAAATGAAGCAAACAAGATCTGGTCACAAGATATTGTAAGGATAGGATACAAAGTAATGTCATCATAAAAACAATGGTGTAGTATTTGCTTGCTGTGACGTGGTAAAAAAGGGTCATTTAAATGTCTGACATACTAATTTTTTAGTTGCTATGTTGTTCCAAATGAAAGAGATGTGAGTAATAAAAAAAAAAAAATCAAAAGAACAAAATCTCTACATCAATTGGAATGATGATGCACATGCCTAGAAGGCAACCACAAGAAGTTATCACTGCTTGGACCCACCTATTGTTTGCTACTCATTTGTTGACTCATGTTCTTAATTGTATTCCTGTCCTGCAAAGGGCTTAGCAGCCAACAGGACAATTCAAATTGCTTTTGACTGAGAATATTTATATATTTTGCATACTATGGTCTTCAACCATTGGTGCCGTAGAAGGGGAGCAGTCTCTTCTTACGAACACATACAGCCTTTTGCCCTTCCTGACCCAACTGTCCTCAGTGTGTTATACCAGGTTATTACTACTACAAGAACTAGTAATTCAGAGTACTGTTATTAAAATTCTCCTCTGCTCAGCAATCAAGGCTGATCACACAGAGTCCAAGACTTGTACGCTTATATCATGGGGACAAAATTTGAGTAAATACTCACATGTGTCTTCACGTCACCTTCCAGAATCTTGCTGTACCTGAGAAACTCAGCAACGCTTCCATTCAGCAGCCTATCAAAGGCTTCAACATATGGTGCTATGCCTATAGAAGAAGAGCATTCCATTATAATGGGTTCATAAAGTATATAATGCATAGGACATTCCTTCATAGCAGATGGAGGAGAAATATCATAGAAACAGCGGAAATTGCTGTAACAATTTCTGCCGTACTCATTGATTTGTGAGATCAGTGAAAAAGGATGTATAATGATTTTTCCTAGCTAGAAAGAAAAAAACCCTGCTCTTGGTTAGAACTTGACTAGGAACATGAAAAGAATCTACTCTGTATAATGCAGTGGGAAGCCTCTTTTGTCTTAAAAGAACAGGTGCTGAAATAAACATTTCTCAGCCCTTCAAAGGCCTAGTGGCCTGATTAGCATGACTGTCTCAACGAAATTCTACTCTTGTACATGAAACAAATATTATCCCCTAAAAAGTCTCTGCACTGTAGTAAACAACTATTTTTATACCACCCTCCCATTCCTGAAGATCTTTGTATTGTTTGCTGGCTTTTAATAGCAAGCAATTCAATTACCAGTAAGACAGAGTCTTTAGAACAGGCTGACAGTGGATTTATGCAGTGAGATGTGACTTTGTAATCTCCTTATTTTGTTGTCTGACCTTCCAAAACTGTCACTGGATAAAGAAAGCTCAAATGAGTCTTCTAGATGACACATCCCATTGACTACATATATATATAAGCGCGCTATACATTCTAACAGAGGAATAAAAGTGCTATTTTCTATATGGTATACAGAGCAGTTTCCTGATAAAGTGGACAATCAGAAAATGCAGATGAGACTCAGTTTCTTATGCACCTGGCTTCTAAATAGCTTTATGTGGTACCTTTTAAGACAGCAAAAGTAATCTCTCCTCGGATGCTTTCCAACCCCCCCTTCACTCCCTGACACATCCTCACGTCTTGCCTATGCCTCAGAACCTTTGCCAGGTCCAGCATGAGCGACACACATGTGAATTTATGGCATCTGTAGGATCTGAGAGACCAAGGTTAAAATTCTTCCCAGCCTCTCTCCCTCATTAATGAAGCCTAAAGATTGCTCTGAAGAGGTACCAGGCTTTCCCCAGAGAGTTTGCTTTAACCTTTTGGCACTATATGACAATTGTGTCCAAATTCATAATCTTGAAAGCCCTCTTTATTCCACAGGAGTCATCTGGCTCCTTGACAGAATAAAGAAAGGCTCTGGCAATTGGAGTTTGCAATGGCCTGTGTGAAAAAAAAAATGAAGTTAGTCAGCTAGGCGGGATTTCAAGGCTCCTTTTGTTCTCTTGATGTCACTCACCTTTAATTCTGAGGAATTTCTGGGCTTTCTTCCATATTAAGTGTTTGTGTGTAAACCCCTCAAATGACCCAGTGTACAAAAGGTTTTAGTTGTGGAGATGCTTTCCAAAGCCCATTTATGTTCTTTGTCAAAATCTGTGTATGTCTCCAAGAGAATCATTGTAACCTTTTACTTTAGAGCAGAGTTTTAAATAGCAGTTCACCAAATGGCAATTGTGCTGTGCAAAACTAGAAAGCAACTATGCTGTTTTTTACTGTTCAATACAGCTAACTCTCAGGAGCATTTACTAGAATTTGCTGTGGGCCGTGCAGAGCAACTGAATGATTTGTTTGCAATCCTGCTGCTGTAATGCCATTTAGGAAAATAGTAAAGGTACAGTTCTCCCATCTTCCTCATTATTTTGCTGTTTCTGAAAAAGTATTAATTGAAAAGTCAAGGTTATTTTTTGTAGTAATTCTAATTATGGAATGGCCTTTTAGGGGAGGGGGCCATGGTAGAAGAAAGCAATATATATCTCCATTTCCACTAGAGACTTAAAAAAGGTCACACTCTGTCTGGGTGTCAGTTTTAAAGGACAAAAGGGGCCTGTTCTATAAGACTGTCAACTCTGCAGTTGCTGTGGAGGTTATGTGAACCTCTGCAGAAGCACAGTAAAGAACACGGGCATACAGAACGATGTTTGTATATCATTGATGGTGTATCAGTCACCCAAACTGAAGAACCGGTACTGTCTTTCCTAACCGCATCAGCAAAAGCTAATTCCTGAGCCCGGTGTGAGACAGCACCGCCTGGAGATGTGGTGCAGGCTGGCAAGCGCCCCATGGTGCTGCTCGTCTCAGCTTCTTACTGCAGTCTCCTAGTGGGTGTGTTTTATAATGCCACTCCAACAAGGTTTGCCAGTTGGTTTCTTCTAGGGCTCTGCTGGGGTTTCCAGGCTCTGCTTCCCCAGGGGCTGAGTCTTTTCACCCGACTGAGCTCATAGGTTAGGCCAAGGAATAGAGCAGTTTCATGGAAGTCCCTCACATGGTGTGTTCATCTCCTGTTCTGAAACCCACCTGGCAATACTGAGCTGTGGATTAATATAGAGATTCACCTAGATGGATTCATTGTAGGAATGAAGCCTGTATTTTTTTAAAATGTAGATTTCCTAGTAGCAACTGATTTATTTGTCAGTTTGTACATGGATCATGTTTCTCCATGACCTTGCTAGCTGTCTAGGTTTTCTCCGGACCGTATGCATTTTATTACTGAAGCTTACTCTGACAGGCTAACTCCTCTGCAGTGGAAGCCTGCTGGAAGATGCTCCTTTCCTGCCACAGGAACACACTGTTCCACGGCACCTGCCAGTGTGTAAGCCCATGGCACACATGGCTGTGGGGAAGCTCCCTCGCATGTGTTATTGGGTAAAGGCTGGCACACAGGGACAATGAAGCAGCTGGGGTGCGCTGACTTGGTTCTGTGCCAGTAAGGAAGCTGCCCACAACTTTCTGCCTCTTCTGCAGCTTCCATACAGCAGCTGAGTCCATGCTGGGATGTGCTCTTCTCTGGCGAATGCAGGAAAGGGCCAAGGAATACAGAAAGCAAAGGACATGAAGCGAATAAAGGGATAGATGTTGGTGTCCTGGGCAAAAAACCAAGCTCTAGCGAAAGGAAAGGTCAACTCTATTCAATCAACATTAGAACTGCCACATTTATAAGGTTATTTACCCTGTAAATTTCAGGGATGACAAAAATTTTAAGCAGTGAAAAAATATGATTTGGTGATATGACGTGACTAAATGAAGATAGACTTTTTTGATATATTCTCCAACGTAGTGCTTTGGAGATCTACCTGAGAAGGGAAAGCTCAAGAGGTAACAACGTAAGGCCATGAATGTGTGGCAGCCCTTAGCGAGCAAATGCTTACGAACAAACTCATATCTGATTAAGGATATCGAACAATTAAATGAAGTAGGCCTGCACTGTGAAATTCAGAGAGTTGGCAAATAAACTCAGTGTTTATATTGCTGACTTCTTCATGAATATTTGTGCTATAAATTTTGGGGATGTCTCATTTCTTCTGCTAATTGGGCCCGAGCACACATTTTCACCTGGTGAGTTATCTACAGCAATATAAATGCTAAAACGACAAGAATAATAAAGCTTTTTTTTTTAATATGGAGAGTGTATTTAAGAGACTAGTCAAATCTTGCATTTTCTAGGCTATATTAATTTAGAATTATGTGTATGACTAAGCTTGTCAATGACATTTCTAAATTCATTTTTTAAAAAATACTACTTTCTTTAGATACAGAATTCATAAAGTGTGGGATCGCACTCCCTCTTAGAAGACAAACATGGGTGCTCCTTGCAATTTTTTAATAACAGAGGGATGGTACTTCAAAAAAACAGACTTACTTCCATTGACTCCATTGATGGCATCACACTCCATTCCACCAGATCTGTGTGAATCTGAAAATAATGATTCAAGTCGAGTCACTGCCTTCTCCAGTCTCTCCATCAAACCATGAGTCTCTGCCATTCTGAAAAAAATCATTAAGGATAGGAGCAGTGTTAGACACCTCTGAGTAAAGCCCATGCTTTACTTCATGTTACAGTTCTGTTCATCCTGTGGCTTTATCTTTTATCAGCTTTTATGATGAAAATCGTATTTTAAAGTATTATCTTTCTGGCATATAAGCAGATGCAGTGAAGCAGCTGACATGCAGTAACTTGCTGCTTTGTCAAGAGGGAATAGGATCAGTACTCAGCCCTGGTTTTTCATTGTAAACAGCAGATTCAAACCACTGCTAGCATAGCTTTGGACAGTCTATATGTGGACAATTTATGACAAATATATGTGAATGCTCCCAATCAGATATTGAGATGACTGATGTATTTATAAATGTAATCGGTAAAACCTTATGCCTACAATGATTCACATCAGCCATTTACAGAGGCAAAAATACAGACCCAATTAATACTTGACTGAAAGCCGGACTTCAAATCTATACCTCCTGATTTTTGAAAAGGTACATTCTGAAATTTGCCTCAGACTTTTATGCTCTGTAGTAAAACTCAGCCACTTTATTGAAGACTACACAAAAAGCAAAGAGAAGATCTTATGTTTATTCTTCTGATATGATTTCCCATCACTTAATTTTTTCTTACAGAAGTACCCGATGTGAATCAGTGTTCCCCAAGCTTTTTAACTCAAGCACTGATTAACCTTTAAAACGAAAAAAAAAATCCCAGGGCCTGCTTGTGCAGTACTGCTACAGTACTTTTGATTTAAAATTAAATAGAAATTAGGTTAAATTTTTAGCAACTCACACTTTACCTTCCCTCCCCACAATGTGATTATCTGCTTTCTTACATGTGAGGAAGTGTAGGCACGGACATTTTTGAATACTGGCCAAAGTCTCAGGGAACACTGTGCTATATACACCTCAGGCTGAGAAACAGTTATATAAGCCAAGACAAAGCTATGTTTAAATCCCCTAGAACTATATTAAATATTAAAAAAACAAGTTTAGTGTATGTGTTCCTTGCTTAAGGTTGTGTTTTATTCTGCTAAGTGCCATACAGTAAGGGGGCTCTTGATTAACACGATCCTTGTGAACCATTCCAGCTCAGCTCCCACATTAGGCTACATCCCCTGCCCAGCACCAGGGTGTGCAGAAGTAATGGCAACGGGGGAACTCGCATCCCCAGCTGGGGCATGCAGGCAGTCAGTGGCTCTCAGGGGTCCCTACCCTGGGGTGCTCTGCCAAAAGACATGGATCGATGTATGGCCTGTAGACTAGAAAGGTTAGGCGTACCTGGAATAGACGTGTAAATGTATTAGTTCCTAATGAACAGCCTGCTAGAAGTGCTACTATTTCAGAGGTACCAAGGCGTAACAGTAGATTCCAATAAACTGCGCCATCCTATGCAACACTATCAACCAAACCAAACAGTGCTGCTTCAGGTCCCCATACCCAGGGGAAAATGGCTAAATGTTATAATTTAAAAGTAAAGTAACATGAAAAGAAAGGTTTTGATCTACAAATCAGTAATTCTTACGAATAAAAATAATAATAATAGTATTTTTATTTTCAAAATTTAAGTGCGAGAGAAGATTAGCTACTAGGACTGTGGAAACACATGCAGAGCTCTTGTGCTGAGTCATGCTGCCTGTCAAAGCAAGGTGGGACCTTCAGACTTTACCCTATAAATATAATGAGGTTTGTGTTTGACCTAGAAGTGAAGCAGAAGATTTTACAGCGAGAAACCCTCGGGACAACCATTCTCATGAGAAAGTTTTGTCTGGAATTTATGGGGTTTTCCTATTTACATTAAATAAAAAAGCAAACCCCCCCAAAGAGGATGACATCAGACAGTGTGCATATAAACACCGTCAAAATTCAGAGGGGCTCTCCTTGCTTATACTGCAAATGCACACTATTCTGGTTGAAAAATTAACAAATTTTTCAGAAAAACACCTTAACTTTTTGTGAGATTATAGGTATCTTGGCAGGAATGAGATGAAGGTATCAGGAGAGCTTCTGAAATGTTCAAACTTTTGTAAGAATATTAAACCCTTTTTTAATATTAAACCCTTTTTTAAAACAAAGCACCGTTAATCCTCAAAAATATTATGGACACATTCTTTTCACATTTTACCCTGCTACATAAAAGCCAAAAATGGCGTCTCTTTTAAAAGTTATGTTTTAAATCAGTCTGAAGCCAGGGTGGTCTAGCACAGCATACTAACAGTCAGCTCATTTCATCAGTATTTAAAAGTATATTTCCAGTATAGTTCCTGTTGGTCTTTATTTGAAGATACAGTCTGGTAGGTTGGGTTTTTTTCATCTCCCTTAAGATATTCCTTGATGACATGTACAAATGGAAGACCTGTTACTTTTTGGCCTCTTCAGGCTGATTTTGCCTGTGGAAGGACCCACTTGTTTGACTACAAACCCAATGTGTTTGACTGCACATACTTGGGGGTCCGAAGAATCTCACAAATGAACAGAGGTGGATCAGACTTGTAGTGTTCTACCCAGCAAATTGCCCTCTGTAAGATGCTAAGAATATGGATTATGGTGTCAGAAGCTCAAGGGAATAACCCAACTTAATAACCCTATGGACATTTTTATCCAACACTTTCCAGCTGCAAGACAGTCTTTTGCTCACTGTATTCTTCACAGCTTTTTTCTGTTCCCATTAGCTGGAGAACTACAGTGTTGTTCTTCCAAAAGCAGGTATCACCAGTGAGGCAATCACAGAATAATATATTGTTACAGGCTTTTTAGACAGCAATAGGAACCATTTTTACCATAAACTTGGGGATGCCAGTTTTTTATTATTTTTGTAAGGAATGTTACACTTAAGAACTCTTCAATCATTATGTTTACACTGAACCTACCTTTTTATCTGTGTACGTACATATTCATGAGTACTTGGTATTCGTATCTATACTTACATTTATGCATGCACATAAGCATACACAGGGGTACCCCTGTCATGTATGAATAAAGTGCAAGTATGCTTTTGCCATTACTGTATATAACACTACAAGAGCAAATCAGTTGTACGTATAACAACCTTACATTTACACTTCACTTTACCATCAGGTGACTAGGTATCTGTCTTACAAACAAGACTGGAATTAATGCTACCGTCTGAAGTGAAGACTCCGCTGAGAAACAGCACGACAACTCTCTTCATCCATTCTCAATCTAAGCATTGACACCTTTGCCTATATTTAGGGATTCACATGTTTGGCTCATATTATGACAACTTTCAGCATTTTCTTGGCCTATATTCAGCTGTTCATCTGATTACTTATCATTCCTCACTGCACTCTGCGTGGTCAAAGCGGCACCGCAGAGCCACAGCTCAAAAGGAGTCAGAACACAAACGGTACAGCTTGACTCTGTGAAGATACTGTCTGTGTGATATAGCATCAGAGCTTATATTATAAATAAATAATAAGACTGGTCTACTTACAATGCCAAATAAAATCTTTGCATGTTAATGAAAAGTAAAGAGGATGTAAATATGTCTGTGGGATGCTTCCACTCTCATAAAGCACATTTTTACATCAAGACAGAATCTATCTCATCTCTTCTAGGATTTTAATTAAAGCTTTGATCTTGAAGTAGATTATTGGGGTTAATCATGTATCTTTTCCTGGAGTTGACGCTGACCACCTACAAGGAGTTGAAAACAACAGTGCTTCAACTCCCATGTAATCCCGTATCCAGTTGCTCTCTTGGTGGAGAAGAACACTGTCCTTCATTGAAAATAAGGTCAACTAAGAGGCAGGAAAGGTGCTAACCCACATCTACTGACAATCATTTAGATGTTGACATTGTTAACTGGCTCTTGTGCACAAAAAATAAGAGGGAGGATCCACAGATTTGCCCTGTTTACTCTTAGGGATATCTTTTTTGGGAGTGCTACAGGCATGTGGTAATACGACCATCTGTCATTTCTTCCCCAAAAGAAGTGAGGCCAAAACCAGGTAGGACAAGGCATGTTGAAGACCAAAAAGCAGTTCTCTTTTTATAGACAGGCCTTGGGAGATGACTGCTTTTCTCCCCAATTTGACAGCTGTCGCAAAGCACCACTTATCTATCATCAAAGGAAAAAAACTTGACTGTAGACTAAAACTCCCTGACATACTCATCCCAAACAGCAGTCAAACTGGAAGCCAAAACACAGGGGTACTATTCCTGTTATCATTGTATGTGACTTACGACAGAGGACCATATTGCTCTATCTCAAGAAGAAACAAGCTGTAACGAGCCCACAGGGAAAGGCAGTATAGTAGCATAAGGGCAAAAAAAATAAACATACAATGACTTATCAGGCCTGTAAAAATGGCAGTATTGAAGACAGGAATGGTGCCACCCTATAAAGTATGATCTTATTCTGACAAATATCGGTGAGAGATTGTATAAAGTTCCACAGTTTGTTTTACTTCCTAGCACTCTTTTAATTTAGAAGAAAAAATTACTTGTTCATCTATTTGGGTTTTTTTTTCCCCCTAAGTACCAGTCCTTCCAAATCCACCTAGCATCTGAAAAATTAAGCCAGGTCTCACTCATGCTCATCATCTGAGACGCTACAGGTCAGATTTTGCTTTTCCTCGCTATGCCAAAAAAGGGCAGATGCCTAAAACAAAATACAGGCAGCAATGTGGCATTCTAATTGTATCTAACATTCCTACACTGCTTGGAAAATCACAATCTCATTGAAAGTGTAGCAGCCTCCACATGTGCTTCCTCTCATAGTCTTTTAATAAAATGCTACTGAGATACGAAATAAAATATACAAAAACCTAGATTGCCAGCTGGTTCTATCAGCGAGCCAGTCATGAACGTTTTATAGATCCAAAGTACTGTGTCCTCTAAGAGTTCTTCTGTACAGCATATATCAATATGTATCAAGGGAGGGGAAATGCCTATGCGTTTCTGAACATCCCCTCAAATTACAAAAGCATCTTATGGCACTTCATTTCTGAAAAAAAACCCAGTCAGCTTGAGCCTGAAA